GTAAGAGGTCAAGTTCAAAGCTTTGGTGCAGCCTGGTAGGCACTCACCAAATGGCAGTCAGTAGAGGTCTTGGCCTTGCTTCTGTTAATAGTAACACAAGCCAGTTAATGCAAATGAACGTGATATGTAAAGGCTCAGGTCTCAGAGGTGGGCTTCAAGAAGGAAGTAAAATTGAACAAGTTCAGAAGTTCAAGTAGGACTTAAAATCAGAAGGGCATAGCAGCGTGAGAGAGCAGTTTAAGCCAATGCTCCAAAAAGCTCATTTCTAGTGAGAAGTGGGAAACTGAGTCCACACTGATAGAGATTTCAACACCTTCATCCCATGATATCCTTCAGCTGTCCAGTCCACTTCTTTGAGATTAACTGAGGTTTCCCCAGTGTTACCTAAAATGCTAGAAAAATGTAGCATGGTGCATAGGTTAAAGCACAGCAATACGATGCTATCAGCAGCCATTGCAGCATGAGTTCCATCCCTGGCCATAGTGGTGACCCACATGACACAGCAGACCTCTCCTGTCTCACCCGCTGCTCCCCTCTGCATTGGATTTCAGTCATTCTGCCTGTTCTGCTCCCCACTCTGTCTCTGGTGAATCCTCTCACCGACCCTGCACCTCTAGTCTGTACCCCAGGTCCTGTATGTATAAATAAATAAATGAATAAATCTTTAAAAAAATAAAATGTAGCACAAAGAAAAGTCTGTGGGCCTCTACTTCAGAAGGCTTATATAGAAATTCAAGAACTATCTGTTATCAGGTGTGTGCTTCCAAACCCGGACATCTAAGTATTAAGGATTCTTTCTTAATAACAGGTGTGACAATATTGTGGTTATATTAAAACAATAATCCTTGTCTTTCAAGAATTCTTATATTTATAAATGAAATTAAATGATGACTGGCATTACATCAAAATGTTATGGAGGGGGTAGGTGGAGATACAGATGTAGCATGATTTCTATCAATCTGTTGTTGATGAAGGTAATCCAGCAGGCCTGGTATCTTTGTTAGGAGAGAAGAGGACACAGACAACAGAAGTATGGCCTTGTGAGGAGACAGGGAAAAGGCGGCCGATTCTAAGATAACTAGATCTCAGAAAAACCTGCTGACTCCTTCATCTTGGACTTTGAGCCTCCAGATCTGTGAGAAAATGAACTTCTGTTATTTGGATGACACGGTCTGGGGCACTTTGTTATAGGAGACTTAGCAAACAACATAATATTCAGCAGTTGAAGTGGAAATAATAGCTGAAATGGAAATTTGGTAATTAAAGCTCCTACAATTTTTTTTTTAATTAGATCAAAAGAGCTAAGGTTTTTTTTATTCTCTTTTGTTCTAAACTGACTAATAAGTAGCTGAAATTAACTAAAAAAGGATATATGCCACTAAGATAGTCTACTTATAGGTAGAGTTATCTCTCATCAGACTACTTCCGTGAGCATTGTAACTCAGTGATAACTGAAGGCAAATAGACCACTAAGTATATGTAAATCCTCCCACTAAAATATTCATTTTGTGTCTGTCTGCTCATAGATCTATGCATGTACCTAATCATTTATCTATCCATCCATTCATCTACCCATTCACTAAGTCAGTGTTTATTATTATTGAACACCTACTATGTGCTAGATGCTATTTTAGGTCCTAAAGTTTTGAAAAACTGATTGGTAGGCAGATAAATGCTCCCCCAAATTTCTAAATGAAAACTCTTGATTTCATTTAGACAAAAACTCAAAGGTCTTTCTGATGCATTCAGGCAAGGAAATAAATGAAGTGGCCCAGAGGGATGCTGATGAATTAGTACCTAAGAGGACAGAAGTCACAAATCAGGTCTAAAGCATTCTCAGTAAACTTGCCTAGTTTCACCAAAGCTTCGAATATTTTTTTTTTAAAGATTTATTTATTTGTGCATGCAGAACTAGGGTACAGGCCAGAGGATCAGGGGCGGTGAGAGGATTCACCAGAGACAGACCGGGGAACAGAGCAGGCAGATCGATGAAGTCCACTGCTGAGGGGAGCAGCGGGTAGGTCAGGAGAGGTCTGCCAAGCCATGTGGTCACCTCTGGGGCAGGCGGGAATCGAACTCATGCAGAAGTGGCTTTAGATTCTCTTTGCTGTGCTTTAACCCGCTGCGCCACCAGGGAGGGCCAAGCTTCGAATATTTTTAAGAAAATCCATACATTTAGATTCTTATGTGAATTTCCTACTTTTAAAGCTGGTGAAGTAATCTGAATTTTTCACACACTTTGTGAGCCCAATAAGACATATGTATTATTTAGGTACCCAGAGATCCCGAGAGGCTACCCATTTGCAGCCTTGATACTAGACTCTGAATAGAGAGAATTACAAGATGCTTAGTTTTCAATATCTGTTATCACCAGTATCTGATTTCCAATGAATTTATTACTAAATTTACTTTTAAAGGATATTCTTGCTTTAGCAACCGTTTGGCCATCAAATAAACCTGAGAAATTCCATGTCTTCTCTATGATTATGAAAACATGGATATATGAGGCAAGACAAGGTCTGTATCCAGGAAAAATGTGGTAAAAACTCTGTCATCACCTCATCATGACCTTCTCTCACCTCTGCAGATTACCAGGGCAAGGCCATGCTTTTTTCCATCATCTTTGTAAGCTCATCACTCACGATCTGGTGTAACTCCCTAGTATTCATACTCAATAAATATTTACTGAACTGAATTTGAATCCACGTCGGTACTTTTTGTTTCTGATTTAAAGTCTGCAGTGAAAACTGATTCATGCTGAAATTCCTCATTTAGTTAAAATTTTTGATCTTTAAGGTCATATCTGTATGATGCAAAAATAACTAATCATTCTAGAAAGCACATTAAGGAAAAAATCAGACAAATCACACTTGGAATAACACCAATAATCTAATCAACTACTGTATCTCTTACCAAATCATGCATTGCCTTCCTTCTATTTTATTCTAAACTTATAGGACGGGCAAAAGGCATTTTGAATGATTTTTTTGTTTGAAGTTATATTTCAGATTTAACATTATATTACTACATGTCCAGTTTTAATAACAGTAAAATGTAGTTTGTGGAGCCCATCTCTGTGATTTAGCAATTTCTCTTAATTAAATGAAAAATTCACAAATGTCCTCAAAATAAATGAAACACCAATGACAAAATATAACCATCACCAACTTAAAAAAAAATTCTCCCTGAAACATTCTTTTAAAAGAGCAATTAAAGTGTTTATTTAAATAAAATTTTAAAATTCAGAGTATACCAAGGAGTATAAAAGTAAGTGTGAAAAAAACTGCTATAACACGAGCCACCTGCAAATTTCATTCTTCACATTCATCAGGGAGCTCAGGAAAACTGTGGTGAAAAAGGTATTTGTAATAAAAAGTACCTCTTGAGAAAACTGATGAGAACCTAAACATTAACGCATCAGGAATGCCGATGAATTCTTTTAAACCTCACCATACGCAAAAAAGGCAAATATTTCTTACATTTCACAAGTGCCTCTGCCTTCAAGCAACTATACACACAAACTCAAAGCACATTCCAACTATTAATACCCATTCCTTTTCCATCAATTTCCCCCCAAAAGTTAAACCTCTGTTTAAATAGCTGTATGCTTGTATGCTTGTCTTTTTTTCTTCCATAACCCTCTGAAGATTCACCTGTTTTATAAATCATCTTGTCCCCTTCAACACACCTTAATCAAATGCAGTGAACACATTAGAAGTTTTATGTCATAAATTTCACTGTATTAGCAATCTAAGCATTCACAAAATTATCCTCACATACCAAGAAACCAACAACTTTATGACTAAATGCTCAAATACTTAGATGTCTGCAAATAATTCTAATTTTGTGATGGAATTCAGTCTCTATCTGATTCCAAATAAAAACAGAAGCAAATTCTTAAGTGGTCTCTCCTTCCAATTCAAATTCCTGCAAATCTCAGAAATTATCTAAAATTTTCATCTGAAGTAAGTCAAATGAAGTAATTAGGCATTCTTGATTTTCTTCTTAGAAACAAGAGTTAATTTGATTGACTTATTACATGAATGCAGTTAATGGTCCTGACAACTGAAAGATTTCACACCTCTTTAAAGAATTGTAGCTATAGAAGTAATCTTAGTTCAGATTGACATGTGAAAGAATAGTAAAGACAATATATTTCTAAACTTAACTTCTATAATTATTCAGTTAAACTTGTCTTTCTGGATGACAGTAAGGTTTCACTATAGAAGCAAATAGAGATAAAGAGAACTAACCAAATCCTGCAATGGAAAATTTAGTCATCTGAAGGTGACCAGCAATTAATGAGGTGTATGAGACCTTGACCTAAGTACTGGCTGTTGGTAAGAACTTGAACCGAATAACCAAATCCAACACCCTCTTTTTTACATATAAGAAGGCTAAGACAGAAAAGACAAATTCTTGCCATTTTTGCATGGAAGAGTTTACCAGAAGTATAAGAAAAGTAATTCAGTTGAGATGCAGAGTAAATAAAAGACATTTTCTGATATTGTCTTGATTCCCAGTTAATGTAAAACAATTTCCATAGTCTCATTGTAAGCGAATCTTCTAATAGAGCTTATGAATGGTTCTATTCCTGAAGATTTCATATTCTAGTTCCAAAAATAAAACTAAGTCAAGACATATCCCTTAATCATCACACTTCCGTTACTTATTCTAAGAACACTTAAATTTATTCCAGGACCTGTCCATTTAATGCTGTGGGAACTCAAAGCACATCACTAACAAATTCCCTCCATAACCCAGTGTCTCTGCTGTACTCCCTTTTCAAAAGGTGAATATGCTGTTTTCAGCACCAAGGAAGTCCCTGAAACACCAACCTAGCTGCTTTTGGACAGATCTGAGAGACTAGAAATTTTTGTCAGTATTCTCTTTACAGGTATTTTTACCTTTACTTTTTTATATGTCTGAAACACATGAAAGCCAACTTGAAAAATCAGGGCTCAGTCTGGAGCCCTCTGATTGCACCTGTCACTCTTTACCTGTTTGCAAGACCACAGTTCTCTCTTCTCCATCCAGGGACACAATCCTGAAGTTGTAGATGGTTCCCGCTTGTAGATCCTTGAGGTCACATCCATAAGTGGTGTTGTCTATTCGCTCTGGGTGGCAAGAAGCCACCCCTGAGACATCACTGCTATAGATGAGGCTGAAATTACAGTGTGACCCCAAACTTCTCCACTGGAGAGACACGGACTGGTTGGAGACCCTGGACTCCGTCAGGGTGAAATTACATCTCACCGGCTCACCCAGGACAGTCTGAAAAGGAACCAGAGACAAGAGTCGAAGCCCACAGTGTGGATTGCACAGAGTCAAGTTCACAGTGAGCTCCCAGTTCGAGTCCACTCATCCCTGCTCCCAGCCTCCGCCAATCTCTTTGCCCTCTAGCTAAAGAAAGCAGGCATTTGAAGTGGGCCGCTCTCCAGCCGCTCCTCGGAGCGAGAAGGTGAGAGAGAAGGTGACTTTTTGACAGTGACAGTAGGATAAACCGACAGTCTGGCTGGAGGCTCAGAAGAGGATCTTCCTTTCCAAGGAAGAGGAAGAAATCCTGCCACTTCCCTCTTCAAAACAACCTACTTTCCCGGAGACTGCTGCAAAGTGGAGTGGGGATTTGGTCCGTGGCTGGGAGGAGGCGCATCAGCGCGTGTCCCCTTCTCCGGCCACTCACCTGCAGCAGGCTCTGCGCGATCCACAAGGCCAGCCCCGCACCATGGCTCAGCATTGCGCTCAGAGGTCACCGCCGAGTCGGGACAGGGGCTGGGTCGCGCGGTGGCCCCGAGGGTGGGCGCTGGGGGCCACTTGTTGCGCGCGCTCAGCGCGCCCCGCGGGCGCACAGCGCTTGGCTCCCGGCTGGCGACGCGCAGGAGCCGCCTCGGCTGCAGCTGCCGCTACTGTTTCTGCCGCCCCGGGCGGGCTGCGGACGCGAGAGGCGGCGGGGGCAGGCGCGCGCCGCCCTTCCCACGCTGCCATTCTGACCCGCGCTGCCTCGCCCCGAGCCCCGTCCGCGGACTTCCGCAATCAAAAGGCAATTTCCTCGTCTCCCGGCAAAGGAACAATGCGCCGGCAAGGGAGGGAGCCCTGAGGAGTCAACGCCTGAGGCTGCCAAGGGGGGCCAAAGCGGGCCAAGTCGCCCCCCTGCCTTGCACTGCCGCCTCCCGGGCCAGGGGTCCTGCACCGAGAGGCAGAGCTCTGCCTTTCCCTGCTCCTCCTCTCCTAGACTTTCACTTTTGGTCCACTCTGTGGACTCTTTTGGTCCTCAACCCTGGCCACAATCAATACTTGCTCCCTCTCACTTTCCAATCCCCCCATCTCGCCACCCCTTTCCACCCTCCACACCCAGCGCCTACCCCTCCCTATCTTCCTTCCTATCTTCCTCATCTGCTTTCTCCTGGGCCTCTTTTCCCAGGATTAAACTGGACAACAGCAGATTTCCCTAGGTCGCCTACACTCTTTCCTGAAGCTTTTTATTAGAGTGCTTTTGCCCTTCCCACTTCAAAGCCGCCTTTGTCCCAATTGCATCCCCCTGACACTAGCCAGAGAAAAAGACCCCTAAAGGAGCTTGTCCAGGCTCAGCAAGGCCTTTATTTTTTTCCTGCCATTCACTTTCTCCTTTCTCTTGTGTAGAGAGGTCAGTGTCCTCTATCCCTTCCCCCCCTCCCCCCATCTAATAGAAATGGCGTTAACCAAGAATAACCATCATCACCTCATCCCAAAGCCAGCAGTTTCATCCCTCACCATCCAGGGGTTAGCTCTGTTCTTCTCATTCGCCTAAGCAACACCAGAAAGTATATCGACTCTTGATTATGGAAGATCTATGGATGGCTCAGCTGGTCACAGATTACCAAAAATTAGAATTTTCAACACTAAACTTTTTAGCAGCTGCCTCAGTACTTCAGTGATCATGAATCTAAAATGGGGCTCTAAAAAGTCCCCAATAATCTTAGAACAAAAATGTTTAATCATATACAAGTGATGAGAGAAGAATACTGCAACAAGTTTTGTAATGTCTGATTACTGTTCTTTGGGTACCGCCTCTGACAACTTCCCAGAGAGGAAATTCCACATTTTAATTTTCAAAAGAGAGTACGCTGGAGCTAAAAGCAATGGGAAGGATGCTCTCTCTTATTTTTCAAGTCTAAGTACACATAAAGCTATAAATATGGCCACTATGTCAACTATATCTACTTTGAGGAAAAGCAGGAAAAATTAAAACTGTGTCAATTCTTACTAGAAAGTTTGTTTTAAAGAAAATCTCTTAATGAAAAAATGAAGTTACTACCTTTCCAGAGATTCTGAGTGTTCAACCTGTGACCAAGCCAGAGATTACAAATTGCCTTTTCAAGTTAGCAAGCACTTAAAGAAGGTCCCACCTAAAGCCACACTCTATTTCTGGGAATCTTTTCATTTCTCTGAACAGTTTACTTGTTTTACTAAAGAGCTTCTATCTGAAGTTTGCCCTAAAATTCAGTGGCTTGGTAAGCCTTCAAGCATCACCAGAGACATACCCATCCTCTGTTCATTAGCTACAAGAAGTCTACTCTAAATTCTTTGCACAGATTTTAGGAAGAATAAATAATATCACATATGTTCGAGCATCTTTTCAAGTTTTTAGGTGCTGTGTAAGTGACAGTTTGCCTGGTAATAGATTTCATCCAAGTCACACTTGTAACTTTCTTTCAAATTCATCCACCACACAGGTCACACTTAATTTCTGGGACCCATCCTTCTCTTTGTCTTTTCCATTGAGGTTTATCAAATTTTTTCATAAATTGTTCCTGAGATTTGGATTACTGCCACCCAAATGTACTAAATAGCCTCTGCCTTTTGTGAAAATCTTCCTTAAATCTCATTTCCTCCTCATTTTCCAAAATCTTTTAAAAAAAATCACATACATGCCATTAACCTACTGTACTCTATCAATTAATTTTAAAATTATATTTCATTTCCAATATGCTGCCTACAATCCTTCCATATCATGCATGCAACATCAAAAAAGCAAAATTTGAAGAGAACTAACTAAACAAGCCAATAACAATTTATCCTCACTGCAGCATAGTTTAGATGCTTTCAAAATGTATGTTTTTAACAGTTAGCTGCTAATAATGCCCTTGGGAATAGAAATTAGGAGAAGGAGTGATTTCCTTAAGTACAGTTATTTTACTCTTGACCTATCAAGGAGTGATATATACATTTAGAATTAGATGTCTTTTATCTATTTTAATGTCACTGTATATGAAATCATAGTAATACATAGAGAATCAATAGTCACAGACTTCTTTCCCAGAAATATGCACAGACACGCACACACACACTCCAGTTCTTTTTTCCCTGAGAACTTAAGACTTACAAATAATTAAGTTCATCCCAAATAATTCAAAAGAAATAACACGATTATGAAATATGGAGGGAAAATTTAAACTCAGCCTGTCCCTGATTCCATGTTTTTCTTTAAAAACCACAAGTAAAAATATGAGAAATTAAAGAGAATTATGATAGGTTAAACGCAGTATGGAACTGGGTAAAGCTGCCAAATATCTCCAAGTTTTCTACTCCAAGTTTATCTGAAACTACTGTACAAAGTATAAACAAATCAATTCATTTTTTTTCTTTATTCTCAGATTCGTTTGGAATTCCTCATTGTCCTTTGAACCTATTTATTCTGCATAATGACACTGCATTTACTTTAGAAGTTACTGCATTCCAGGAATTTTCTATCAGCCACCCTGTAACTCCAGAGGATACCTTTTCTCTTTGCTACTAGGAAACTTTTCCCAGAATACCTGGGAAGGGTGGGGCTGCTTTTAATTACACCAGAGTGAACAAACAACTGTCTTCTAAATGAACTGTCATAGAAATAAATTAGGAATTACCATTTACATATTCATTGATTATGAATTTATGCCTGAAAGCATAACACTTATCACATTTCTGAATATAGATGCGGAATCAGGAATTGGTCATAGGGGTCCGGGAGCAGCACTTTGAGAAGAGTTGCTTTGGATAAGGGTTTGAGCTGGGTGTGGGGACTCTTAGCAGGCAGGAGGGAAGGAAAGAGCAAAATGATAAGTTTATTGATTAATTTAAATGCTTCACCAAGGACCTCACAGATCCCTCAGGACCTGCTTTTTACCACCCTTGATCCCACCCTGCTTGCCTCCTATGTTATAGTTGCCTGGATCTGATAAAGCATTCACACATTCTTTTTTTTTTTTTCTTCTAACAGTCATTGAACAACTGTTTTGTAATAGTCACTCCATCAGATTCTGTGACTGCACAATCCTCACTTGCAAAGGGAAATTCTGGCACTGCATTTTCTTCAT